ATGTAACACGTATAGCAGAGATGAGAATTGCGTACAAAATGTTAGTCGGAAATATAATTTATAAACTGGTGTGAGTGTGAGATCTGGTCTGCATTTATGTACCTCGGTCCCAGTGACTCTTGAGAACACTTGAAATACACCTTCGGTTACATAAAATTCGACCTGTATCTAGAAACTGCTCTGGGTGTGTGCGAGAAGCATGCCATATCAGCTGCGGTATCCATTCTAGCGATTAACGCTGTACCTTGTAACATCACTATATCCTCATTTTGGTATTACCTGGTTGATTTAAATTCTCTTATGAATTCACTAGTAAGCCTGTTGTGTTACAATTTTTCTTGATTTTTGAAGGGCTCAAAGCGAAATTACGCCATTGGGACAGTTACTTTATTTTAATCATTATCATCTTCTGGCTTTAGATGAAAAGCATTATGTTACGCCTATAGTAATTTCTGTTTATAGGACAAATATTGACCATTAAAGAGGTTCAAGTTAGTACTGATTTGCAAAATATTTAATTGTGTCAGTATGGCCAAATTAAATGACTGGTTGATTTCAAGAACTGTTTTGGGGATATTTGTCTTATAATTCTAGGTACATAGGATTATAAAGACAAGTTAATAATGGAAAAACCTCAGCTAGCTAGTTTTATATGGATTTTCTAATGTTATAGGCGTGTCAGTATACACATAAACATGTACTAGAGCCTTGGCGGTGTTCATATGTGGCAAATGATCTAATTTTTATGTCGTCTTTCATGTCTCCTACTCGTGCAGTGTCGATAAATAAACCTATATTATTTTCTCCTTTCCGAATAGTAACGTGTGGTCGTTACCAAGCCTTCGATTCGAGTGGGTCCAACATCTGATAACATTAGAGATACACCCTCCCCCACACATACACACAGTCCCGCACAACACATTAAAGTCTCTTTGTGGCTTGTCTTTCTTCAAGCGCTTGGCATGGAAATGTAGCACTGCCACATTGTGTACTCTGCATCAACCGACGAAGAACCATTAGCTGGTTTGACTTTATACAGCCTTTGTAAAAACTTTGTAATGTAGTACAGTCACGTAGGATTTGAGGTTCTAAGATGGCTGTCTTCTGGGTGCGTAAGGCCGTGTAGTCTGGTATAAGTTTACCAACGCTGTCTGCATCATCATAGGTCTTGTCTGTTGATGGAGGTAGCGCGTAGTAGAGACGTTAGTGACATTTGTAGATTATTTACCCAGGAATTAAGTTTGGCAATGCCCTTCAACAGCTTGTCGATTATATTCTGCCTGTAGCAGAATATGTATCAACTTATATTTTATGTTTTTAGCTTGAAAGATGTGTTTCTAAATTATGACTGTATGTATTTCATTTATATAGGTGTATACATCTACACTTTATGTTATAGAAAGTGTGTAGAGGGGTCCTCAGATGATCCATAAACTTTATTTTGTAGGCCAAAATTTGCTTGGTGTTTTAAACTATGGATCTCATTTGTTGTGAGGCACGTGGTGAAAACTGACTTGAAACGTTTTTATTTTTTGTTCAAAATGCAGATAAATTTATGAGCTCATTCTTCGACATTATTAATAATTCTTAATATTAACTTTGTTAATAGACGGTGCTTGTCAATAATTTTAATAAACTTTACTTTGGACTAAACAATAATGATGTTCTAATATGAAGTGATTGAAGAGTGGAAATAATATTGTTGTGGATAATTCGTCTGACCCCTGCTGAGTTAGGTGGTCGTTCACTGTGGGATCGATCCGTGGTCGTTAAAGTTGCGATGACGTAGGCACCGGTTTTATTTACTTGTCATCAACGCTCTGGTTCGAATTCCAAATAGGATATTTGTTTTATTTTGTTTATGTTAATGTTTGGCTTTTAGGCACATCAACAACCAAACTTTTCAAAATTCACCTATTAGCTCTGTCGTGTCTGTCTGTATAAACTCGGGAACAGCTGAAAGGATTTGTATGAAAACTTATATTACGAAGTTTTACGAACATCTGTCGACAGATATAAATTGTGATTAAGATCGCGCAACAGTAAGTGGTTATTTACATGAGGATCTAAATACGTTTCTGTATCTGGAAATCTGTCAGTTGAGTGTTCTTTCTCCGTGATGACGTCATCGCCAAGCCAGACACGGGCCACACCCCATTCATGAAAAGTTATTGCCGCTAGACAACTATGACGTCATTGTCTCATCTCACAGGCCAGACGTCAAATTCTAATGAGTGCGCTAGAATTGTTGAGTTATACGTTTGTTTCTGAAGTTGTTCTGTGGTCTTTTAGACCACTAATTGTTAAAACTACCTTTCCGAAAATCATCTTAGTGGACTGTAATAATGTGGCTCATAAACCTAAACTGATTATATTTTAACAATTTGAGGATAGAATAAAAAAATAACCGCTAAGTTCCTCGTTTTATTCTTAGGGATTTCTTAGCATAGACTGTGCTCTAATAGTGGTATTACACATGTTTACTAAGCTGTTACTCAATGCTTGTAACTACATGGTTAACTTTCTCACTGAGACTCGTTCAAAATGCAGACAGTTCAGGGCATTTCAGCCTCTTAAATGGGATACAGATGTTACCACACTAGATTAACAATACACTGAAATGTTCCTATTTGTGAATAACTAGAGACTCTAAAAGCGAAAAGATGTTAGATCACACATATTTTATATTGTTTGCCGCTGTGATAGCCGCCAGAGAGTGATAAGTCAAGAAAACCCCGGTTTTAGTAATTGATTCGTATGTGGTTGACTAGTACCGAAACAATGATGGACGTAGATCATTTGATGCAGTATAAATTTTATGATCTTCTAGAAACCACTAGCAGACGGAAGACAGATATATCTTATTTTAAATAAGATGGTACTTTATTTTTCTCTATCTGGATATGTGCCGGATCAGTGGACTGAAGTCTTGATATCATTTTCTGTATGGTCGAATCTGAGGGGCGGTGATAAATCATTATGACGCTTTGGTCGAATGATGAATGAAACCGGAACACGAAGATGGCCTACTTGGAAAAATATATGACTTACTGTCACACTCACAGAAAAAAAAATATTACATGGATTTTACTAGAACTGAACTCGGGCATCCGCTAAAAGAAGATGTCTGCTCGTAACCTGTGACACAACTCTGAGATTGGTTATTAAGTAGAAAAGAAATATATCAGGAAACGCTGTGCTCGTCATGCGTATGAAGTGAGTGGTTTTGCTTTGATAATGTTTAAGCTGTTAAATTACAAACATATTTTCTTTGTTATACAGAGTATAAATGTGAAACTCTTAGTATTTCTCTGTAGCATCGTTCATGAACCGAAAGAAAAAGGAATTAAAACCAAGAGCATTTTAACAGGAAATATATCAAGTTTATATAATTCGTGCCACTTAAATTTCCAAGTCTTTCTACCTGAAGCGCTTCACACATAGTTGTTGAAATTACATCTCAAGTATACATTATAAATGTATGCTATGGCTTCACGGGTCTAGGTCAGCGGTTACAGTTCAAAGGAGAGTTTTTACAGTGCCTAGAATAGAAATGCCAAAAGAAATGTAAATTTACAAGTTGTATAAATTGTTTGATTAGACTGGCTACATCTGTAAAGAAAAATGCCACGGGGAGACGACCAATCACTGAAGCTCAGGTGGATACAGTGTATGCGGCTTTTATTCGCAATTCACGATAATCAGCCATGTATGCTGCCAGACAATTAAGCATGCCTTACACAGCAACAAATGAAATTCTGCTGAAAAGTTTGAAATTTAAAATTTGTAAGTACAAAATGACATGAAATGTACTGAAACTGAATACAGTTATGACATCTGCCGGGCAACGCAAGGTTCCTTCACTTTGTAAAAAGTATGTCACGTAAAATTGATCATGTGACCAATTCAGATGCCTTTAGTTTCCATTTATAAGCCTTTTACTTCATGAGCAAATTTATATCAAAGTGACATATATTTAATGTGTACAGCCTGCAAGATACAACGAAATTTATAGAAGCAAGTATATGAAAAATTTACGCGTTAAAATTTGGCGTAATAGCATAAACATCCTAAGTCATTTGTCACACTTATGCAAATAGAAAATCGAAGGCAGAACTCTGGTACTGTAACGTGTAATGAACACGGAGAAAAATGTTTCTATGAACCGACGTGTCTTTTGCGTTACAGAACACAACGTCTTATTTCCGCTGAAAATACATGAGCAGTTGCTTTGTAGCGAGTCAGCTCAGTCCAGTCACTGTCAAAAAATATATTCTTATTACGATCTTTATGTGTCCGCATCTAAGTCTCTGTCTTCCGAGTTCCTTATCTTCGCCGAAGTTTGTCCAAAAATATATTTATTTGTGTTTTGTATCTTTTTTTGATTCCAACGTCCGTGGAAGGAAACTAAATGTAAGTACAAGTACAACTAGCAAAATCCAATTGCGTGAGCAGGCTGTGTGGATTCATTATAAAGACCAAATTATATTTTTTATTTCATAACTTGTATTGAAAATGTTATTTATTACAAATAAGGAACTTACGAGGTTTTATCTGGAGAATCTTATTCACGGAACGACTTATCCTGTGTCTAAGAGATCCCTGAGGACAAACTTAGGTCTCGTTGCTTCATCCCTTTGACCCTGTTTCCGTTCAGTTTAACCGAAGCTCTTGGCTGCAGATATTGTGTTATTTACCTTCGTACTCCCTCACCTCCCTTTTAGGAAACACAGTTATTCCACGAGACAGAGCTCACTGATATTCCTCCTCACAGAAATATCGGAAATCCAGAGATGGGATATATTCATAGACACTACTAGAATTGTTTCCATGGGGTGAGGTGGGGCACCTATAACATTTACTTACATACTTAAGTGTAAGCTGTTTAAGAATATCGACCTAGAGTTTTGGGTCTCCACAGCCGAACACACTGAAAATTAAATACAATTTTTAATATTAATATTTGGATTATTTTATTCTTCTTCCATTTTGATATTTTCTGATAATTTATAGGGCAGGCGGCGATGCCTGCCTCACTTCTTTCCCATCCACCTGCAAATTAAATAAATTTTCTGTTAAAATACACATAGAAGATTAGTTCAGCGGTAACGTAATGTTTTCGTTTTCAAACAGTAACTGAATAAAATCCCAGAATGGTTTCAATCGATAAATGCCGTAGCAGTAGGTTGAAATAAATGTCAGTAGCCATGACAGGTATCAAGTCGTCCTTTTAAGACCGTCCCCATCTGATATTGAGAAATATTTTGATGTCAGTGTTGCAGAAAAAGTGTGGGGTATATAGTATCATAGTAAAATAACAGTAAAATAGTAACACGACATTAAAATATGTTGTTCGGTAGAAAATTCAGTTTTTAACTTAATATTAACCCTTCGTCTGGTGGTTCATGGGACCACTTCTACGTAGGCTATATTGCCGACGTATTGAAGATCTTTTCTGTCTGTCTTCAATATGAAGTGGCCACTAAGTGGTCGTCCTTATATACTTTCATTATAGTTCAGCATCTGCTTGGGATCTACCCCCTTTATATATTATAATTCATAGAAATATTGTACATTAAACAATAAATTACTTAACGAGGGACATAGAATATCTATTATTCATTTGTAGCTATACTTATGAGTTAAATCTAAACGTATGTTTTGTGCTTATTATGTACCGTGTGTACATGAGTGTTAATTGTGTTTGTAATTGTTGTTTGAAGCGGAAACTCATGTAAGAATATTTAAGAATTCTGTCCGTACCGAAAAAGACAGACACAACTCTTTACCATTACAAACATATCATTGCTAAATTGTTTTTAGTGACATGTTTCGATCTCATTAGATCATCTTCAGGCTGTACAGATCCACTGTAAACTAATAAAAAATCTGTTACATAGTCTCCAAATAATAAATAAATCTACAGAAACACATTAATGGTGTTTAAATTGACATATATTTCATTTTAAGTTGTTTTGTGTTTAATCGCTTGCTTTTAACTGCATTAGCCAGTGTATAAAATACTTCTTACAGTAGTTTAATATAATTTAATACACATCCAAAACAAAAATTTGAGTACCAAAATTTTAATTTGTGTTCTACTTTGTGACAAATTTTAAGATAATCTCAACCACATACAATTCTGTTTCAGATTTATAAATTTATCTGTAGGGCCCGAATACGATTCATTGAGATAAAGAAACCTATCTCCTTAGTAACAAATTTTCATTAATAAAAAATATATTGTGTATTGACGAAATTTCTGCTTCCTTGTACTTGATAATAACCATAATAGGATGCGCTACACACATCAATGAAATTGAATGTTAAAGATTTCGTTTACTTCAATCTGTAATCCGGTATTAGATGCTGTGTTGTACTGTCCCAGCGCTCGACGTCTGGAAACTGTAGGCAGATATTATTTGAAACGTATTCATCATATAAAATTACGCCATTAAGTACCAATCATGCATTTTATAAATGACGTTGAATACATATGTAAATGTTGAAATAATGATCAACGTAGACATATATGATATATATTCGTCTTATGTACTTTTCTGCAAGTATGAAATAATTCTAAAGATTTTAATAAGAACTTGGAGAGTCCAGGACAAAAATATTTTACTTAAATTGTTTGTAATTATTGCATATAAGTCCATAAAATCTGTGCTTAAAACTGCTTTCTTTCAAGAGAAGTGTAGTTAGTGTTTGTCACCAGGTTGATAATTCCCTGATTATGGAGAAAGCAAGAACCTCTGAAAAATCGGTAAACTTCTACCAGACTACACAATGCAACGTCACAGAAAACAATTATCATCATGCTTGCCGCTATGAGAACCTAAAATCTCACAAAGACATAAAAATTCACTTTGATAGTGAATTTTGACAATTCTTAAGTTCTTTAACGAAATTCTTTTAACTGCGAATTTATGTAGTGTTGAAGGGAATAAGTAGATTATCAGTATTGATTATTATGTGTGGAATCTGAAGGTTGTGGTTGTGGAATATTTCATTGTGCTGTGGAAGCATTTCGCTGAAGAGACTGAGGAGAATCACGGAGATATTAGGATTGCCAGTAACCGACGGACATTCGAACTATATACCTCCGGTACATATGTACAGAGTGTACCACCCACAATAACCTGCTCAGTGATTATAACATAGAGCTATAACTGTTTTATTCCAGATTTTAAATGAAGTTGTACCTTGTAAAAGGTTACAAATAAACACGGACTATTTATTGCACTGACGTATACTCGTATATTCTGAAACTGATATAAACTTGTGTGGCATACAGCAATGAAAAGCGAACATTCCGCACATGACGTTTGGAAAGCTGCCAAGTTGTAGTGGAAGTAAAATGCATTACATCAGGAACGAACAAATAAATGATGTGTGACCGTCATATACACAGGGAAGTTATGCATAGGCTAGAAATTCGAGCTTCTGCAATGTGGCATATACAGAGGAGATTTTTATTCAACCACAAATACTGCGGCCATAACTCAGAGGAAGCTGTTATCGGTGTAGAGACGAAAAATAATAAAATAAATGGCTGAATATCTTAAAATAACGCCTGAAGATGATCTGTCAGTAAGAATTGCGGGGGAGCAGATGTGAGGATCTTCTGAAAGAGATATGGAAGTTTCAACTTCTGTAACTGGAACCGGATGCGATCATAATCCGTGATGATGATGATCGTCATTCAAAGGTATTAAAATGGTCAACGATCGTGTGACCTCTTGTGTGCCAAGACCTCATGAAGCGCGAGTCTCTTGCCTTAATTGTCATTTTACTCTTAAGAGCACTAGAATTATAATTAAATAACCTCTTTATGAAGCGCCTTAATTGCCTGTGAGAGTTAAATTCAATGTGTATTTGACGTTGAGAAGCTATTACGGTTTCATTATTCGACAAAAAAGTTTAGAATGTCCGCCACAGTTTTCGGTTTCTCGTTCCAAACTAGAGCTTACTGCCTGTTGAATTGTTTTGCATTGCCACACACTTAATAGAGGATGTGCCTGTGAAGACAAGTACGATAATGCCCATCAGCATTTTGGTCATGAAGTTAAACATTTCTTGAACCAGCCTTACAGAAATCGGATTGGTCGTCGTGTTCCAATAACGTGACCACCAATATCTCCGGACCTATCCCTGATTGATTTATTTTTGTGGTGTCTAATAAAAGAAATAACATACTCGACCAATGTACACTCGAGACAGGAATTGCTTTGTCTGTTTGTAGATGATTATGCTTACAAATAATGACAATTCGAAGTGATTAAGCGTACATGAAACTCTTGTTTTGAACCATCTAGACCGCCTATTTGAAACGTGGTGGGAATAAGCGATATATATCATAAAATATAGCCATAAATTTATTTGTCATTTCTTGTTAAGTATTTTTATTTTCCTACTCGCACACTGAATCCATTATTACGCAACACATGTTTTAAATAGAACGACTGTTGTGAAAACATTTGTTACATAAAATTAGCTCCAGAATTTCTCCCCCGACGTACGGTAGACCGGTTTGGAACATTCTGTGTAAGTCTCTAAGTATCTCAGAAATTACGTACCGTAGTTTTAGAAGAGAAAGGGTGAAAATATTTGTGTCGATAGGCAACTGAGCGAATGAGGAATGCACTTATTTCGTTATTTGAAGAAGAATCCAAGTTCTAGCCTCAGGCGTTAGTTACAGTGCAGCAGAACAGTCTTGCTTCTGAATACTGTTCACGTTACTATAGAAACGAAATTTTCTGTAAAACTATATTCAGCAAGTGAATAGGAGGCGATAGGCAGCGTTTATTAGAACCCGGATTATCAAGGCCCTTCCCGGGAGATACCTTCACTCTTAACCACACTCAGATGATGAGGTTCTGTAGCTGATTGCATCTGCGCTACGCCAGACCCATGAAGGTCTGTTTTAATTTCTACGGGCTTATTCTGAAGCTCTGATCTTCTCATGGTAGAATGATACTTATTAAACGAAATTGTACGAGAAAATCTATCGAGCTTTATCATGCTGTCCTCAGAATTAAATCCGTTATCAAATTAAGCTGAAGGTAATCCACTAATTGAATTCATTACTTATCTGATATTGAAATAAAATATATCAGTTATGCTTGAATGTGATCATTGCTTTATACAGAATAAGAGAATTTTGTATAATATTTCGCATCTTATCAGGGGCAAAGTACTTTATTATTAATTGCTATTGCTGCAAGTATGTCGGAATTTTATTCGGGTATCTGGATGACCGAAGTTTATGATTGTGGTTGTGTTTCTTTTTAAAACACAAGGAAGGGTTTACTCGATATGCATCACTTGTTAGACAGAGCGATTATGTTGTTACTAGACGCTAAAGAAAACAGGACTTATTCGTTAAACCAAAAAGTGATGAATGTTTCTGTTAGGTATAACAGTGGGAAAGTGGTATCTCAGGAAAATAATAGAGGAGTGAAAAAGAGGTATAAAGTTTGCAAGGAAACAAAGTCAAATAAAATATACCGAAAGAAAAAAAATACATTCTGACAATAGTTTAGTTGTGAGCACATATTTGATATTCGGTTTGTATCGACTTCGACAGTGAAGGAGTGCTGTGATTTTGTGCCTTGGACGATTTAATGTGCCATCACTCTGTAAAATGGAAATTGAACACTGATAAAACTGAGATTCTGTTCGGGTGAAACTTTGAGTCATTTGAAATATATCTTATTATTATCTTGCGTCTTTGTTATTTGTTTCCTGAGCGGCCGCTGTGAACTACAAAATGGTTGATTGTTAACTTATGTGCGGTAGCGGAACTGTCCGACTTTTTGGTAGACCTGTCTGTAATGGAGGTCGAATGAAGAAGAATGAGCAGAGGGAAATATTCAGTTCAGGTCGGGTCAGAACAAATTGGACTCTATAAATTTGAACTCTGTGACGAATAGATTCAAACATCTCTTCTGTCTTAAAGATGCATGACGGTAGAATGCTATGGCATCGTAGGTGATATTCCTTTCTTATATAGTGCATATCCCTACTTCAAACTCCATTTTTAGTCTATAAGACATAACACAAATATTTCCAACAATAAGTAGGACGGTATACGCAGCTGTATGAATAAATATGATAATAACAGAAATAATATGCGATTAATTCGAGTCTCTGGGAAAGAAATTTCTCATGAGATTTTCGACCGGTGCCAACCCAGCATCATGAGGAAATTGGGGATCTACAATAAGTAGCGTAATCCGGTCATGGAAACTAGCAATGGCTGGGGATTCGTCGTGTTGGCCACACGTCACCCTATATCTGGTTGGATGATCGTTCACCTCTGCTGAGGCATGTGAACGTGAGGCCAGCAGTCAGCTAGTCGGCTTTGGCTCTCAGAGGGCTCTTACGCCACGGATTATTATTGTTTATATGCGATTAAATACGTATAAAATGTTTTGGGTGTCTTTATGCAGTTCCTTGTTCTTACGTAACCATACGAATGCATTACTCTAAAAGGAACACAGTAATTTAGACGATTTTATTATTAACAGGCATATAATGCTAGACTTCGGTATACGTAAAGCCAAATTAAATAATATCAGTTCGTAGTTGATAGGAAAACAAACATTTTTAAGAACACTGTGGTAAACGAAACGTCGATGAACAATCAGCACTTCATAATACCTGAATATGACACTCAGTGCAGAAAGGCTTAGTGATTTTGACGTAAATACGTCTATAAGGAAGGGTCATTCGGCAAAAAGTGGAACGAAAAAGGAAAAGAAAAAAGTGAAACGAAAAAGGGAAACGAAAATGTGTAACAAGTGTACCTAGGGAACGTCGTGTTTACTCGGATTTGTTGTTACCTAGGAAACGTCATCTGTTTACTCGGCATTGTTGTTACCTATAAAACATTACATTACCTTACCTTACCTTACATTGCATTTCATTACATTAAATTACTTTACATTGCATTCAGCTACCACAGACCCATCTTAAGCGTAACTAATTGAAGTTGAATAAGCAATGTCTTAATCAAACTTATCTCAATTGTAAAGCATGTATAAAAGAAATATTTAGAATAAAGCCAATATATAAACGTCCTTTCCGTATAGACGTATTTACGTCAAATTCTCCGGAACCATGGTTCCACTGACAACTTTTTTAATACTGCTATATTAGGAGGCTGCAAACTGGGCGACCGGGGTTCGATCTGGCCTCTGTGTTCAGACCGGTTGTGGGGCCCACCCAGCCACGTATGAAGTGGGTACCGGGACCATTTCCTGGGGATAAATTGCGGCTGGGGTGTGACTCTGACCACTCACCACTATCTTGTGCAGAGGTTAAGAATGAGTAGGAGCTATACCCCCTCTACCCCAAGCGTCTTCTTTGCGTATAGCGAGACAGCTTTACTTTACTTTGTATTACGTATGTGTTTGGATGGAGATGCCAGTTGTGTTCCGGATATGATGTTTCCTTGCTTTCTCTATTACATCCGAATTAAACTGTCCTTCCCATATACTTGCAATGAACGTCTTTTAGAATGTGAAAATTCCGAT